TTGAGAAGAACAAGACAAATTTGCTTTTATTTTAAAATTTTTAATGGTTAAATTATCTATAAATTAATAAGTGCTTTTTTATATCATAAGATTTAATTAGTTTAATAACTAATAATTATTTTCTTTGAAAATGAGTTAATTGAATAATCTATTAAATTACGAGAAAAACTACGGAGGTGCAAAAGGAACCTCACTTCTTTTTGGTGAATAAATAATTTACTTTGAGAGAGCTGGCAAACACCAAGTTAGACTTGAGAGTGAGAAGGTTGAAGAGGGGAAGTAATGAGAGGGAGAGCTAGAAGGCTAGAGCAACGTTTTACTTTCCTCTCTTTGTGAACACAGCTTTATGACATTGTTTTTCTGAAAACCATAGTTCTTCTGCAAAGGGATCAGTTCTGGTAGTTACACTGTTGCCTGCCTACTTACAAACATTTACGAAGAGAAATAAGTTTACTACCAGCATAATGAATGATCGTTTATTATATAATTTAATTATACTATGATTGTATACTGTATAATATGTCACTGTAATGAGACATGTGAAGAAAATGATAGTACATCATCCTTCACATCTTGGAAAATTACTTGGGAGGTCACCAAATGTTTTATAATTTGTGAAAGTCATTTGCTTAATTGATTGAACATAGCCAATTTGTTGCAAGGCAATTTTCAGTTGACAGTGCTTTCATTTGTCTGCTTGTTGGAATTCTGCTTGAGCTTTGTAAAATGAGTAGTTACAGGTTGTTTGTTTCAACATTGTTGTATTCAGGTCACTGTGCTTACTGTGTATGTGTTCTTGTATGGACGTTTGTACATGGTTATGAGTGGATTGGAAAGGGAGATTCTTCAGAATCCAAGCATAAATCAGAGCAAGGCACTTGAAGAGGCTTTGGCTACCCAGTCAGTTTTTCAGCTTGGCTTCTTGATGGTTCTGCCTATGGTTATGGAAATTGGCCTGGAGAAAGGATTCCGAACTGCTCTTGGTGATTTTATAATTATGCAGCTGCAGCTGGCTTCTGTTTTCTTTACATTCCAGCTTGGAACAAAAGCACATTATTATGGGAGAACGATTTTGCATGGGGGTTCCAAATATCGAGCTACTGGCCGTGGATTTGGTGTTTTCCATGCAAAATTTGCTGAAAATTACAGGCTGTACTCAAGAAGTCACTTTGTGAAGGGGCTGGAGTTATTGATACTGTTGGTCTTATATGAAGTTTATGGAGAATCATATCGCAGTTCAAATCTTTATTTTTTCATTACTTTCTCTATGTGGTTTCTGGTTGGGTCCTGGTTGTTTGCACCTTTTATATTCAACCCATCTGGTTTTGAGTGGCAGAAAACGGTAGATGATTGGACAGATTGGAAAAGGTGGATGGGAAATCGAGGTGGTATTGGGATCCCATTGGACAAAAGTTGGGAATCATGGTGGGAAGGAGAACAAGAACATCTCAAACACACAAATATAAGAGGAAGGGTGCTTGAGATAATTCTTGCATTTCGCTTCTTCATTTACCAGTATGGAATTGTCTACCACCTTGATATTGCTCATCACGTCAAGAGTTTGCTGGTATGGCTTTTTACCTTCTACTTGCTCATTGGTTGCTTAGAACTCTGGCATCGCCTAAGTACTGCCTACTTGTTACTTCAATTTCCTTGTAGGTATATGGACTCTCTTGGCTAGTTATGGTAACTGCTCTTCTTGTGCTAAAGGTATCAAATACAAAATTTTTAGTTATGAACTGTGGATTTTAATAGCACCCACTATCAATTGGTTCGTGTGCAACAGATTTAGCTAACAGTTTTAGCCTGAGAGACATGTCTATTAATTGCTTCCTGTCTTTGTCTGTTTCCATCAGATGGTATCAATGGGCAGAAGAAAATTTGGAACTGACTTTCAGCTCATGTTCAGAATCCTCAAGGCACTTCTGTTCCTTGGCTTCATGTCAGTGATGACTGTCTTATTTGTAGTGTGGGGCCTCACCATTTCAGATTTATTTGCTGCCATCCTTGCCTTTTTGCCCACAGGATGGGCCCTTCTTCTTGTACGTCATTAGCTTCTGCAGATTCTTAAGATAGGGTCGTATATTTCATTTTTTTTAATGTCAACTGGATCATTAGAGACATTTAGTCAGCACCCTAACCATTAGGAAACTGCATCGTTAAAGTAGTTTTGAAGTCCTGGAGATATCATAATGCATTTCCCTAGATACTTTAATCCATCAGCAGTTTTTCAGTTCCCTTCCGCAGAAGTTTTATCAACACTTACAATATATCTTTGTTGCCTCTCTGTACTGAACTGTATTCCAATTTTCATCTTTTCTATCTCCAAGTTTAAATGTCCTCTTTCACCTACACTAAACATTCCCCCCATGATAAAAACTACAGTTAAGATCTCAAACTCGTAGGCATGGTGAAATACCAAGAGTACCATGTTGGCCAATTTATGTATTTGAGAGATGAGAGATTTTCGTTTTATCACTTGTATAGTAAAATGTGACTGGTTTTGTTGGATTTTGATGAAAGACGCATCCATGCAGTTGTTATAAAAGTGCACGTTATGAACCAGCTTGATAAACTCATCTCTTTTTTGTTAGAATTTCTCCGAGAATGAAATCTTTATCTGTGTTGTTTTTGCAAGATTGGGCAAGTATGCAGACCTTTGTTTAAGAGGCTGGGATTCTGGGAATCAACAAAGGAGCTGGGGAGATTATACGAGTACATAATGGGGTTGGTGCTGTTCATGCCCATTGCCATTTTGTCATGGTTCCCGTTTGTGTCGGAGTTCCAGACACGCTTGCTGTTCAATCAAGCATTCAGCAGAGGCCTCCAGATTTCCATGATTCTGGCAGGAAGGAAAGATAAACCAACCTCACCTCCTAAGTAGAGCTTCAGGTCTTAATGTTTTTCTCTGCACTAAAAACCAGTATTGTATTTTTTGAATTAACAGCATTAGAGTTAGATTGATTGATTTTTCCATGAATTGTCCGTAGAAAGAATTATGAGCTCAAAACTCCCAGTAATACACCTCAAAATTAGTATTTTATTTCATTTTTTTTCCCCATAGATTCTGAACTCTAACGACATGGTAATAACATTTAGGATATTCTTTCGAACACTATATCTTTTTTCTATCAATCGAACTAAAAAATTACTTTCAACGAACAATGTTTGTTTAATGTATGAGTCAATAAGTAACACATGCAGCATCTACGCACACGGTCTTGTAATGCTTCAAGAATGCACATTGAATACGTGAATCCATAAGCATCTTGTATGTGTCTCGAATGCGAATGCATATGATGCTTTAGTTCCTCAGCCATGTATTCGGTAATGATTACATAGCATGATTTACACAAGTACGTGCATGATTTAATTCATGTACGATCATAATATAGGTGCAGATCATGAATCAACAGATTTAATGTATGAGAATAAAAAATTATATTTTTTTATTAACGACAAAATAATAATAATAATAACATTATGATCACTATTAAAAAAAAATATCGTAATTATTTTTCTTAAAATATATTTATTTATTATATATTTTATTTTTTTGAACAAAAATGATTGTTTTATTACATTCTTATTCTAATTTAACAAACTTTTATTATCTTCCTTGTGAAAGTTATATATTTGAATTTATTTAATTAATATATGTGTATCAATTTGAAATTTAATAATTATTAAAATTAATAATTTCTTAATTTTAAACAACTATAAAATATAATCTTTGAGTAATATAACTTTTTAAAAACGTATATCATAGAGTCTAATTTTTTTAAAATAGTTGTAACAAAAATTTTGAAATTATATATTTATATATATATATTGGTATATAAACTATTTTCATATATAAAATAATGCGCACACATATACAAATAGCTAGTGAAAAATATAGGCAATTGTTTTCTTCAATTAAAAAACACAAGGACTAATTTGATAAAAGTAGAAAAATAATGTGGGTTTTGTGATAATATATCAAAATATTGG